CTGCCCGCCCTTCCCACAGCGAGCCGGCTTGTCACCAGGGGGCCGGATGCCCATGGCCGGCCTGCAGGTGGGGCCCCCCGCTGGCCCCCCGTTTGGTGCAGCGTCTCCATTGCGACCGGGCATGCCGCCTGCCATGATGGACCCCTTCCGAAAGCGTCTGCTGGTGCCCCAGGCCCAGCCCCCAATGCCCACCCAGCGCCGGGGGTAAGGCCAGCCTGTCCTCCCCCCTCTCCTAGCCCAGCCCTGGGGGTGGCAGGGGTCGCCTCTCCGAGAGCTTGGACTTGAGGAAGACCCCTGGCTCTCTGGGGGAGGGGCCTGCAGGACTGCGGGGAGCACTCCTGAGGCTGACCTTGTGCCTCATGGGTTTTTGTGCCCCAGGTTAAAGAGGAGGAAGATGGCAGATAAGGTGCTACCTCAGCGAGTAAGTGCTGGGACCCCAGCCCGGGATGGGAGGAGGGGCGGCTGGCCGGGGCAGTGTCCGTCTCCCTGGCTGGGGGTGGGACGAGGGGGCGGCCACAGCGAGCCCACGAGTGCCTGCCTCCCCCAGATTCGGGAGCTCGTCCCGGAGTCTCAGGCATATATGGACCTCTTGGCTTTCGAGCGGAAGCTGGACCAGACCATCGCCCGCAAGCGGATGGAGATCCAGGAAGCCATCAAGAAGCCGCTGACGGTAGGAGCCCCCCACCACACCCCGTGCTGCGCCGGCCCTCCCTGGCTGCTTTCCAGGGCTGGGCGAGGGTCCGTAGTGGGCAGTGCGGGGCCACCGGCCAGTGGAGCAGAGACTTGCGTGCGGTATCCCTGAGAGGGTGGGACGCGTGAAGCGCTCCCAGTGCAGAGCCTGCCCCGGGCGCACTCTTCCCCGTGTGGGCGGCCTGGGCATCGCGTGCGCGGGCAGGTCTTGGGCCGTGGCAGTCCTGTGGGGCGTGGCGAAGTCTGACTACTAGACTTGAGGAGACAGGGCAGTTCCTTCCTCCTCCCCTCCCTGGAGAAGCTTGTCTTTTCGTGGTGATCGTCTCGGGCGGTCCGGAGGGGTGGAAGCTTTCCAGGAGACCAGGATGCCTGGGGCCATGATGGCTGTTGGGGTCTCTTGGGACGTGCGCACTCGGCCCCACTCTGCCCGCAGCTTGTGAGGGGCCGCCCCGCGGCCCGGTGGCGTGGGCAGTGCTGGAGATGCCGGGCCCTCAGCAGTCAGTGCTGATTGTTGAGTGACTCGTGGGGATATCGGGGCTTCCTGAGCCCAGCGTCTCGGTCCACCTTGGACGGTTCTTCTCCTCAGCAAAAGCGGAAGCTTCGGATCTACATCTCCAACACGTTCAGTCCCAGCAAGGCAGAAGGCGATGGTGCAGGGACTGCTGGGGCGCCTGGGGGAACCCCAGCAGGGGACAAAGTGGCCTCCTGGGAGCTCCGAGTGGAAGGAAAACTGCTGGACGACGTGAGTGGGGACGGAGGCGTGTGGAGGGGGAGGCCCGTTGGGTTACGCCCAGGACCAGAGGCTGGGGCTCCCAGGACGTCCTGCCGCAGGCGGGGGGCACAGCTCTGGGTAGCGCGTGGCCGCGACAGCCGGGCCCTGAGGGGCAGTCGGCGTCCCGGGGACGTCCCTCGCCGGCCAGTGGGGCTGCCGGAGCCCTTCCCTGCCCCTGGAGTGGCGCTCCTCCCCGGGCCCAGGGGGCCCCGCCGCGGGCTCAGGCTGCCACCGCCTCGGGCGCCGGCTCAGGAGCTGGGCCCCTCGGCCTCAGGCCCCTTTCCACTCCCAGCCTAGCAAGCAGAAGAGGAAGTTCTCTTCGTTCTTCAAGAGCCTGGTCATTGAGCTGGACAAGGAACTGTATGGGCCTGACAATCACCTGGTGGAGGTGAGGGGGCCGGGCGCAGTGCTCAGGCTGCCGGCGAGCGGCAGGCGGGTGGCCTGGGTCCCTGGGGCGTCTGCGCCCACCCCTGGTAAGCGCTGCCCGCCTCCTCCCTGCCAGTGGCACCGGATGCCCACCACCCAGGAGACAGACGGCTTCCAGGTGAAACGGCCCGGAGACCTCAATGTCAAGTGCACGCTCCTGCTCATGCTGGACCACCAGGTGACGGAGGCCCTGGCCACGCCCCGGGAGGGCGGGTTCGTGAGCCCTTCGCGCCCCTGCCCTGCCGACTTCGCAAGCGCGCATCCTGACGCCCACTGCGCCTCCAGCCTCCCCAGTACAAGCTGGACCCCCGCCTGGCGAGGCTGCTGGGCGTGCACACGCAGACGCGGGCCGCCATCATGCAGGCCCTGTGGCTCTACATCAAGCACAACCAGCTGCAGGATGGCCACGAGCGCGAGTACATCAACTGCAACCGCTACTTCCGCCAGGTCAGCCGAGCCCCCCCCCAGGCCGGCCCTGTGCGCCCCTTCTGGGCTCCCTCCCCGCGCCCGCAGAGCGTCACCACCCTGGCACTCTCCCCAGATCTTCAGCTGTGGCCGACTCCGCTTCTCTGAGATCCCCATGAAGCTGGCCGGGCTGCTGCAGCACCCAGACCCCATCATCATCAACCACGTCATCAGGTGGGTGCCGGCAGCGGGCTGGGCGGCCCTTTCGAGAGCAGGCTCGCGC